TCTAAATTATACCCGGCGCCTTTGCGCAGGTTGTTCTCTTTCTTGTTCAAAACAATTCCCGTCAGTTCTGTTTCCATAAACAACAGAATGCTCACAAAGACTGCCGGGATAACTGCGGCGAACATCCATCCCGCGTGGATCCCCGCGGGACCCACGAACCATCCACGCTTCTCGGGGACTGTAGGTTGTAGACTTGATAGTTCAGGCATCTTTTGTGTATAGACGTCCTTGATGGAGAAGTCCAGTAATGTCATGGCGAATATAGAGATCGCCATTCCAAAGTCGCTTACTGTCCGACGTCCCTGGAAAAATATGGAGGAAAATTATACAAAAGTGTAAATTTTATACATTTTTTAGACCTAACCAGAGCAACTGTGATTCCTGTGAAAAATGCACGCAATTATAGGTTCTCTGCATAGCAAGAATGCGGCAACAGATTAGTAACAGAGCAGCAACAACAATTACAGCAGCAGCCGGTAAAATAGCAGCATAGGAGTTCGCCATGACAATTCTGTGAAGGCATCCCTCCAGCAGCTGTCACATTGACGAGTCAGTGGAAGAAATACAATCTACAGGGTGTATAAAAAAAAACTGAACAGATTTGAAATTGCTCTCAATTTCGCAAAACACATATTTGTATCCGGTTTTTTACATATATAGCTTTTTTGGGTACTTATAATGTAAAATAATGAAAAAAATTTGTCGAACTCAAATTTTGTGGACCAGGGGGGTGTGTCTTTTCCAACAAACTAAAAATGGCTCGCGCACAAAATTTAAAAGCTGTAATCATATTTTGCGTTAATAGATGGAAAATATGTCGGGTTTTTAATTACCGTACAAAATTTCAGACAATTTGGTTTAGTGTAAGCCTTTAACTATTCATTTTGTTCTAAAAAGTCAGCCTTTCGCATGCTTAATTAATGCCTTTACCTAATTTGCATATTGCTGACATATGCAAATTAGGCAAATGCATTAATTAAGCATGGAAATAGCTGATTTTTAGGAAAAATGTAACTTTGCGTGAATAGTTAAGGCGCTTAAACTAAACCAAATTGTCTGAAATTTTGTACAGTAATTAAAAGCCCGACAAATTTTCCATCTGTTAACTTAAAATATGATTGCAGCTTTTAAATTTTGTGCGCGAGCCATTTTTGGTTTGTTGGAAAAGACACCCCCCCCTGGTTCACAATATTTGAGTTCAAGAAATTTTTTTCATTATTCTACATTATAAGTACCCAAAGAAGCTATATCCATAAAAAACCGGATACAAATAGGTGTTTTGCGAAATTGAGAGCAATTTCAAATCTGTTCAGTTTTTTTTGATACACCCTGTATAGTGGTCTATACATTGTACTTGTTGAACTAACCAAGTTTAACAAGCACAACTTGCTGCAACAAGGCAAGGCAAAAACAGGCAATTGATCCGATCAGGTCGCCACGAACGGTTATTAAGGCACAACCCCTTAATAACAGCTGTGACGTCATGGGCTTCCCTCATGCATGCATAATACATCTGCCGTTAGCCTTGCTTAATTCTATTTAACCTCATGAGTTTGTTTCCTACTTTGTTTCATGAAGTTATCGGCTGGTAACGTACCTTTCTGCCAAAGAAATGACTGTGTCGAAACTTACGAAGGCGAACAGTAAGAAGAACAGTTCCAAATAATAATATAGTGGTTAATAACGATGTGTTAGGCTCGTAACGAGGGTCTGACTGCTTGGGGTTTGAACTATTTGTACCAACTGTCGTATTTATACCCTGATTATGCCACTTGTGAGTTCGGGTTAACGGATGGTCTTTAAATGTCTAGAATTGAAAAAAATATATACTTAGATATATGAAAAAAAAAACCTTCTAAAACCAACGTGGTTAAGTCATGCAGGTGTAGCACATGTTGTTAAGGTGATGTTGTATAATAGTTTATGATGCACATAATTAACATTTGCTCTCCCCCCTGTTTTCTTGCAAATGTGCAATTTTTTTTCCCCAAAATGTAAGTTGGCAGTTCAGCCTCACCACTGTTCAAAAAGGCTTAGTAACAACAATTATCAGACTTGTTGTGTGTGTTGGTGTAATTATGTGCTCGGGTAAATATGATGTTTGTGATGTTACTCTGAGTGTGCATCCACACCGGGCAAGCTTGAAAAATATGCCTGGCCACGGCGGGAATCGAGCCCGCGACCTTTGGGATACTTGGCCAATGCTCTACCAATTGAGCTCAGAGCTACGAGGTCACGTCGGTTCGAGTTGGTGATATTTCGGAACTGAGCCTAGTTCCTTTGATATCAATGTAATCTAAGGGACCAGTCATTATTAATGCCGGGTAGGGGGCCGGAGGAAATTTAGAGGGGCCACAAAAAATGTTTGACCAGTGAAGGGG